GCACAGTGGCTCACGCCTGTAATCCCAGCACTTTGGGAGGCTGGGGCAGGAGGATTGCTTGAGCCCAGGAGTTCAAGGTTAGCCTGGGCAGCATAGACCTTGTCTCCACAAAATATAAAAAAATTAATTGGGAGTGATGGCGCATGCCTGTAGTCCCAGCTACTTGGGAAGCTGAGGCAGAAGGATCGCTTGAGCCCAGGAAGTAGAGACTGCAGTGAGCCATGATGGTGCCACTACACTCCTACCTGGGTGACAGAGTGAGACCCTGACTGGAAAAAAAAAAGGTAATGACAGTGTTGCTCACTTACTAGAAAAAACAACGCATCAAACAAAACAATTTGCTGTGGGATATGGAATTGGAACAAGAGGAATTTGAGAAAGTGTCAATTTTATGACTTTAGGTTTGTCTTTCCCTACTGGTATTAGGGCTGAACTTTTTGAGCTACATTATATAAAGTACTGATTTTGTCTCACATATTTTTCAGAAATAATTTTTAGTATCTGCATTGAGGTTAGTCTTTAGATTACAAAGTGACATTGGTATTTGCATTTACACAAATTATTTATGCCATGTTGAACTGATTTTAGTGTTTCAGATAGTTTTTAATAAGATGGGTATTATATATGTATTCTTACAAAACTGAAAATATGTTGTTTTTACATGTGACAAACAACTTGGCTTAGTGTAAAATTCTTGACTAACAACCTTTTCAAAATTCTGCAGATTGTCATTCTCTTTTAATATTTAATATTGGCCAGGGTCGTTGGCTCAGCCTGTATCCCAGCACTTTGGGAGGTCAAGGCGAGTGGATTGCTTGAACCCGCAGGTTCGAGACCAGCTCAGGCAACTTGGCAAGACCTCATCTCTACGATAAATAAAAAATTAGTCAGGTGTGGTAGTGCACACCTGTGGTTCCAGCCACTTGGAAGGCTGAGGTGGAAGGATCACCTGAGCCCAGCAGGTCAACGCTGGGGTGGTTATGAGCATGCCACTGCACGCAAGCCTGGGCAATGGTGTGAGACTCCAACTCAAAAAAAACCAAACATTTAATATTGTGGAGCATTCTGAAGTCAGCCCAATTTTTGTTCTCTGTAACTTAAAACTTTTGCCAGAATGTGTGCAAGTTTGATTTTTAAAATAGATTTTACTGAAAATATAATGGGCTGTGTGCGGTGGCTCAGTTTGTAATCCCAGCACTTTGGGAGGCTGAAGCGAGAGGATTGCCTGAGCCGGGGGGTTCAAGACCAGCCTGGGCAACATGATGAGACCTCGTCTCTATAATAAATCACAAAAACTAGCTGGGCGTGGTGGCTTGCAACTGTAGTTCTAGCTACTTGGCTGACGCAGAAGATCACCTAAGCCCAACGAGTTGAGGCTGCGGTGGCCATGGGTGTGCCATTGCACTCCAGCCTGGGTGACAAGAATGAGACTCCAACTCAAAAAAGAAAACATAATGAACCTTTTCAATCTGCATGAAAGATCTTTGTTTAGTTCAATATGCTATTCATTTATTATATCTATGATAGGTTGCTTTTCTCCCATTTGTTCTAGTATCTTCAGTTTTCCTTCAGTGGTATTAAATGCTTGATCTCTTGATTTCTGTCATTCTGTTTTTTTTTT